AAAAAAAAAGAAAGGCATCAAGATGTAATTTTTGTTAAAGAAAAAGTAATTTTGTCCAGTTTAGAGGCTATTTAAAGGTTGCTTCAAATTGAAAGAATAAAAAAATGATATGGAAAAAACTGAATGGATATAGAAAGTTAGGGAAAGAATGAGAATAGGAAAAAATTGGAAGAGGTTATAAAAGATATGGCAATCTTACCCTGCGTGGTCAAAGTTGACTGAGATTGGATAGATTTGTTTACTAGTTTTCATTAAAATTAGCTTTCCCCCTTGTTCATCTGTCTGTTGTCAGTGTACTTTATAGACTCAAATTATTGAACCCTCAGGGGGAAAAATTCAAATTTCCCTGTAAGTGGTCACATAGCTGGCTAGTGGCAGAATTGAATTTCCAATCCAGCTCTCTCTGTAAGGCCCACAGTTTCTACTGCATCACAATACAACTTATAAAGGCTATACATACATTCATTCAGGTATTATTGTCATTATTAAACTTGTTTGACTTGAAATAGGTTTACAAACAGAAATCAGCATAAAAAACCTAATTCAACAAGTTTGGAAATCTAGTTTCAACATGGGATAATAAAATAGAAAAGTTTCATTTGCATTTCTTCATTTTCCAACTTAATTTCAATGGAAAAGAGTAATTCATTTAGAACGCACAAATGGTGTTAACAGCACTCACAATCTCCAGGCAGAAGGGACTCTGGTTAACATTTATAAAATGGAAGGGGCCCAAGTAAGTTTGCCAAAAGGAGGAATATGGAAATTCTGCCCACAGCCAGAACAATGGACATAGATTTGTCAAAACAAAGAACAGTAAAATGAGGGAAGGCAATTTGTCCAGCCCTTGTTATGCTAGTTTATGACTATTTTTCCAGTGGCTGATTTCCTATTCACTTTAACAAAGAAAAAGATTAAACAAAAAAATTTAACATTTACAAATTTATATTATCCTTTAGTAGAAGCAAAAAACATTGTGAACAGTAAGCTATAATGTTCAAAATCCAAACCAGAAAAACAATCTTCATTCAGACAATTAAATAGCAAAGCTGTCCATTCCAGTTCTACAAAAAGAATCTTCAAGATGTGCACTGTTCATGTTTGGCACAACTTTAAAGTTCTCATGCTAATAAAGATTAAATTTAAATGTAGTTATCCTTCGGTTATTATTGCCCTGAACTAATGGATATATTTTATGATATTACACAAGAGTATCCTGGCTTCCAGATTGGCCTTTGGATATTATGTCAATGAGCTACATCTGGACAGCTGGGAAACAGTAATCAGAAAGGTGGGTAAATTTAAGCTTTGAGTTTAAAGTACAAAGCTGAAACAACAGGCCCTGAAAATACAGCCACAAAATAATGCCTAGAGCACTCTTTCTTTAAACATTGTGTGGGCTACACATTTTTCACCCTGGCTCATGGATGAGCAGTGGTGAAAACAGCTTTTCAGGTATTAGGCTGTAGGTGATAAGCACCATCTAAGTCCTTTTAAAAACATTTTTCGCACTTGCATTTACAACATGGTATTTCTCTTTTCCTGGTAAGCTGAAAACTCGTACAAGCCATTGCAGCGTTGCTCTGGTACTTCATCATGCTACAGTTAGTCTACCGTCCGCAGAAGACATCAAGTGGGTTTCCGCTCCTGAACTGTGCACGCGCCTGCAGACACACACACACACACACACACACACGCACACACGCGCGCACACACCCATGTATCTGGGGGAGGGCGGAACCTAAGTAAAGAGAGAGCATAAATTCACAGATCCAATTTCCTCTACCAGTTACCAAGCACACATTAAGGACGTGCCCATTTTATGGGGACTGTTTTTAAACTCTTCTTAGAAACTAACACGGCTTTGCACGACCAGCGAGTTTTAGTTAAATAGTACGTGATTTTTAAGAAAGCTATTTTAATCTATAGTTTCTATGGGTTAGGGCAGGCGGTGCGTAGAGTCTGCAACCTCCTGTCACATTGCGGCTGGGTTTTAAACGGCTGCATTCAAGGGCTTGGGGCTAACGTTCAAGCCCAGGCTCCACCCTGGGATTTAAACTCTAACAAGTTGTTAAACTCCACCTACTACGGAAAGTCACTCCGACGCTCCGGTTTGACTTGATCTTTGTGGGGTCTGGGTGTCTGTGTTGGGAAAGAGTGTAAGGGGTGGGGGTGAAAAGACAGTTCGCACAGATCGCTGTTTGCTCAAGAAAAGAGCCTCTGTGGGCGTTCTGGAACACGTGCACAGCTCCAGCAAAACAAAACCGACCCGGGTTTCCGGGGCAGAGGGAAGCACAGCTCGTTCGACCGAGTCCAGCTAAACTGTGCTTAGTAGCTACCTGGTAGCCGGGCGCTCGTTTCCTTTCCGTGCCAGGGAGGGAGATGGTTCTGCAGCCAAGAGCACCGTCCCCAGCTGGCGAGCCGTGGCTCTGGGCGGGACCTGTGCCTGGATCCGCTTCCCTAGAGCTCCGCACCTGGGCTTCGCGGGGAGGAGCCTTAGAGGGCTGCAAGGCCCGCGTGTTTGCTTTCTCCTCCTGAAATCCTGTGTCACTTTCCGACTGGCATTTTCCCCATGGCCCGCACAGGTCCGGGTTTGTTCCTGCAGCCGCCCCCTAAAGCGCCGACTTCTGTACACTCCCGGCCCCCAAGCCCTCGGCTTCCCCAACATCGTCCTCACCAAGCGGTGGGCGTGCAAACCGAGCCCCCCTGGCACTTACACGTGGCCACAGCGGGTCCGGACAGGCTGGTGTAACACCTCAAGGCACACGGAGCAGTCGAAGGACGTGACGGGCAGCTCAGGGTCCCCCCTGCGCGCCAGGGCCCGCGGGGTGGCAGAGGCGGGCGCCGATTTGCCGCTATCGCTGCTCAGCACGGAGCCCATCGCTGTGCCTCTCGCCCAGACAGCTGCCAATAGCTCAGTGCCTGCTGCCGGGTTGTTTTGTTGTCCTGCGGTGCAGGAAGGAAGTCCCGGCCCAGCTGTGATCGCCGCCTCCCAACGCACTCAGCCAGCGCAGCCCGGGAGCAGCCTCCGCCGCTGCGCCCAACCTGGGTCTGGCGCAGGGCGAGTGCGCGGCCGCGGCTCTGAAATTATCTCCCGCGAGGAGCCGTGGTGGAGGCGCGGAGGCGGAGGCGCCAGCCGCACGGCGCTCGCTGCAACGTCTCGCGGTCCTGGGAGGGTTGAAACCCGAAACCTCAACTGCAGAGAACAGGACTTGGGGCGGCGGTGAACCATCCAAGCTATCACACACAGCCTCCTAGACCCACAGTCAAAAGTTAAGAAAAGTGCGGGCCTCGTTATGCTTAATGGAGATCATAGAACGCCCACTTGTACGGTGACGGTCCAATCAGCCCTCCACTGTTGCCGTCATAAGCTACATAGATGCCCTGTGACCGACTGAGCGTCTCCCGAGACAGTGCTAATCATTACTCATTTATGGATAGGTAGCCTGGGGTAGTGGAAAGACGTTCAGAGATTTGGATTCGACTCCTATCTCTAGGACGGGGATTCTGGTGCTAAATCCTAAGATCCCGTTTCCCTGGCGACTCAGAATACCCTCTATTGTTTATACTGTTCCCACCCGCCCTTTAACGTGACCAAGTATATCATTCATTAACTCATGCATTTAACGAAGACTTATTTGGTGCCCACTGCATGCCAGACTCTGTTCTGGTGAAGAGGACACAGTTCTGAACAAGCGAACAAAATCCCAGTTTTCAAAGAACTTACTTTAAAAAAAAAAAAGAACTTTATTTTGAGATAATTATGGCTCCACATGCAGGTTTAAGAAACAATACATAATACACACACTATATATACATACAAGAATACATAATACATTTATATATAATACACGTATATTCTTACATCCCATAAACTGCACCCAGTTTCCCCCAGACTTTACTTTTAACTAGAAAATATAATTAATCAACAAATAAATAAACGAACAAGATCATTTCAAATGATAAGAGCCATGAAGAAGGTAAAACAGGGAGTGAGGATAGGGAAAAGGATAAGGTCAGAGAAGACTTTTTGGATGAAGTGACAGTTGAGCAGAGCCATGAATAATGAAGAGGCCAGCCATGCAGAGATTTAGGGAAAAGGTGGGTAAGCGCTGGGAACAGTGAGTGCGGTAGGACCGAAGAAGAGAAAGATGTGTGGAGCTGGATCATGGGAGCTGGAGGGAGGTGAAAGAGAGAAAGATAGTGATTAATATTTTTATAAGAAAACAAAAGACCCTGCCTCTATCCACTTGTGCTTCAGCTCCTGCCCTATATCCCCTCCAAGGCCAAATCTCTTGTTCTGATTCTGCACCTTTTGTGTTTCCATTTATTAATTATCCACTCCTTATCCGGTTCAGCGTGGGTTCTGAACCGACCACTGCACGTCCATCTGTCCACAAACTGCTTCATCATAGTGTCACTGCTGATCTTCATGAGGCTAATTCCAACAGAGTCCTTTCATTCCTTTTCTTGCTTGACCTCTCAACTGTATTTGTCAATGTCAACCACTCCCTCCTTCCAGAAACACTCTTTGGTTTTCTCTTCTTCTTTCTAGCTGTTCCTTCTCAGCCTCCTTTGCGGGTGTCTCCTTCTCCATCGACTAAGGACTAGGGATCCTAGGATTCCGTCGTAGCACCCTTTCTCCTCCCTCTTTCACTCCCTAAGAATCCCCAAAATCACATGAAGGATGGAAGGTCCAAAGACCTTCAGGTTTTTTTTTTTGTTTTTTTTTTTTTGGAGACAAGAGTCTTGTTCTGTTGCCCAGGCTAGAGTGCCGTGGCATCAGCCTAGCTCACAGCAACCTCAAACTCCTAGGCTCAAGAAATCCTCCTGCCTCAGCCTCCTGGGTAGCTGGGACTACAGGCATGCGCCACTGTGCCCGGCTAATTTTTTCTATATATTTTTAGTTGTCCAGCTAATTTTCTTTCTATTTGTAGTAGAGATGGGGTCTCGCTCTTGCTCAGGCTCTTGCTCAGGCTCTTCCCAAACTCCTGACCTCGAGCTATCCTCCCGCCTCTGCCTCCCAGAGTGCTAGGATTACAGGCATGAGCCATCGTGCCCGGCAGACTTTTAAGTTCTTATCTCCACTCTAGGCCATTCAAACGCCCAACTGTTTACTTGACATGACCGCTTGACATGGACACCCTCAGCCCAATGTGTCCAATAATGAACTCATTATAATAACCACTCACCTTTCCTCCTCCAGTGGTTGATCTCTCTGTTAGCAGATGGCACAATAATCCACCTCATAGCTCAGTCTAGACACCTAAAGGTCATCCTTGATTTCTTCCTCTTCCTCATTCACATTGAATCAATCACAATCACAGTTCTGCCTGCAATATATTTCTCGGAAGCTCTTGAATTGGCTTACTTTTTATCTATTTCCATGGCCACCACTTATTTTAAATCATTGCATTCATTCTCTTGTGTGACCTATCACAACAGTTCCTAACTGGTATACCTGCATCCACTATTGCTTCTCTCCAATCTGTTATCCACCTTGTAACTAAAGTGATCTTTTGGAAAACAAACATCTTGTGTCACCCTATGCACGAAACCTTTTAATGACTCTCCGTAACCCTTAGGATTAAATTCCAAATCCTTAACATGATCTACAAAGTCCTGTATGATCTTACTCTTTCAATAACTATAAGCAGGGGGAGGTAGGGAGAGAAACAACAACCAAATAACTATAATCAGTTAAGATACCGTAGGTGGCAGAGGATAGAAATTCAACTAAAAGTGCCTCAATCAATAAGGATATTTATTATCTAATATGGCAAATTAGTCCAAAAATAAGCAGTTTCGGAGTTGGCTGAGCAGCTCAATGATATCCTCAAAGCCTCCAGCTCCTTACCTTCCCCAGGGTGTCAATAGTTTGCTACGTGGCTGGAAGATGTCAGTAATAGCTCCAACAATCACGTCTATACACAGTGATCTCCAAAACAAAAAGGAAAGGATAGAATTTCCTCCTTCCAGCTCTCTCTTCTTTTATATGGTAGGAAAATATTTCCTAGAGGTCTTTCTCAGCAGAGTTCCACTTACATTCATTGGTCAAAATTGGGCCATGTGACCATTCCTAAATCTGTCACTGGCAAAAGAGAATGAGAGTGCTCTGATTGCCCTAAACTCACGATTTATTCCATGGGGCTTGGCACCTCAGCTATCCAAAGCAACAGAAATAGGGTTCTTTTTACCAAGAAAGGAGGAGATGAGGCAGTTGGATAGCTCAACAGTAGGGTCTCCCAACATAACCATTTTTGGCCTCATCTGCTATCACTCTCCTCCTTGTTTTTCATGCTCTTAAATTTCTCTAGTTCTTTCAGTTCCTTGAGTGTGCTAAGTTCTGTCTGATCTCAAGGCCCTTATACATGCTTTTTTTCTTCTTGGCCTTAAAACTTCCTACCCAACATTCCACCATTTCCAGTGCAACTTTCTCTGACTCAAATTTTGGATCTTAGCTTGGAAACCATTTTACACCACATTCATTTCATACTAACTCCTTACTTCTTTCATAGCCTGATGTATGTGCCTTCTTATTTATCCTGTTTGTGTCTACTCTGAGGGTTAGAAATAATGGCTGTAAAGTTCCTGGCATCTAGGTAATGATAAATATATGATTATATTTATATATATATTTCAATAATAATCTCACAAGGTGGGCCAGGCATGGTGGCTCACACCTGTAGTCCTAGCACTTTGGGAGGCCAAGACAGGAGGATTGTTTGAGGCCAGGAGTTTGAGACCAGCCTGGGCAACATAGTGAGATCCCTTCTCTAAAAAAAATAGAAAAATTAGCTGGGAGTAGTATGTACCTGCAGTCCTTGCTGCTGGAGAGGTTGAGGCAGGAGGATCCCCTGAGCCCAGGAGTTTGAGGCTACAGTGAGCTAGGCTGATGCCACTGCACTCTAGCCTGAGCAACAGGGTAAGACACTGTCTCAAAAAAAAAGATAACAGTATATATGCATATACCCATACATATGTGTATGTGTGTATATATATCATATATACCCATACACAGATATATATAAATGTGTGTATGCACATGTATAATCTTTAAAGGAATATCAGTGATAGTATATAATATATAATAGCTGTGTACCTTGCTTTTATCACTTAATAATATGTCTTGGAGAGCCTTCTCTGAGAGCAGTTATAGAACTGTCTTTCTTTTTAATGGCCACGTAGTATTCCATTGTATGGAAATGCCATGATTTATCTAACCAGTCATTAATTGGTTAGGTTTTTTCTATTTTTTGGTAGAGATGGGGGTCTCACTCTTGCTCAGGCTGGTCTCGAACTCCTGAGCTCAAGGGATCCTCCCGCCTCAGCCTCTTAGAGTGGTAGGATTACAGGCGTGAGCCACTGCACCCAGCCTATACTGATATCTTTGAAAAGATACACAAGAAATGACAACTATGGTTGTCCGTAGGGAATGGAACTGGTTGCTGAGGAACAAGAGTGAGAAGAAAGACTTTTACTATATGATCTTTTGGACACTTTGAAACTTGTATGTATGCACTGCCAAGTCAAATATCAATAGATAAAAATTAATAATTTTAACATAAATATACACTTTAACTCAATAATGCTACTCCTTGAACAAATACATGGGCAAATATAAGTTCAGGAGGCATAAACAGGAATGTTCTTTGAAGCATTGTCTATGATTCCAGAAATTTGCAAGCAACAAAATTTCCATTCATAGAGCGATAATTAAACATATTACTATGTATACACACTATGGAAGGCAATGCAGCAGTTAAAAAGAACAAGCAAAAATTTTTTGATAGCACTTAACTATGTATTAAGTATTATTCTGAGTGTTTTATATGTGTTATCTGATTTAATCTTTGTAATAATCCTTTGAGATAGATAAGTATTAATAATATCATTCTGCTTTTTCCTGAGAAACAGAGGTACAGGCAGGTTAAAAACTTGCCTTAAATCACATATATGGTAAAAAGCAGAGCTGGGAGTTGAATCCGGGAAATCTGACTCTTAATGTCAATGAATTCAAACTTCTATGCAATATTGGCCTTCCTCGATTTGGGCTACAATGGAGATATTTCCAAGACACTGTTATCTAAAAAGTGATGTTACTGAAGAATACAAAAATCAATATGAGATATGCTTCTTATGGAGAAAAAGCATTACGTATTTCTCACTGCCTACACACTCGAAAGAGGTCACAGCTCTTTCTCTTGCTGAGTGACGTTGACGAGTTTC